CCCCCAAACCACCCCAACTGATCGGCATATATGGCATACATGGAACGATTGGGATATATGATATATGCTACACCCTAAGAATCCGGGCCCTCAACACATAGGGGGTTGAACGTGACCCCTGCGTTTCGGTGTCGGGTCCGACCCCTGCCATGGAGGATCCAAGGATTCTTAGGGTATATAGATAATTCTATTTTGATATGTCTGTATACTACAAATATACCTGGACGCTCCAACAGATGGTTTTTGGACACCCCTTAACCTCCAAGAGGCATATACCTAGATCTTCTCACCGTGCTCCATTTCTGCCTGTTCATTCATAAAACCCCCACCAAGGTTGGCATAAATTCTGCACCTACTTGGAAGATCCAGGTATATATGTCGTGGGTCCCCATGGTGCCATTCTTTTAGGCTCCAAACGGTTTGAACAAGCAGGAAGCAGGTCGTCGGTGCAAAAAGGCTTTACCGCGGTCCTTGAGAGTTCACGTCCGACGTTGGCAGTGGTAGGAGCTTCCCACCGCTGTGGGGGGTGGTGCGGTGTGGTGGCTCGTCCCATCCGCTGTGGATGTGACAGCGGGGGCACCGACCGACCCTCCTTCCTCTCTTCGGAACCGGCAATGACTCCCGGACGCGACGAGCCGTGAGCGGGATTCGTTTCTCCACCGGAGCGGGACTGTGAAGCGGACCCGAAGCGGACCCGAAGCCAAAGCAGGTACGACTAACTGAAGCTCCCCGATGTTGGGTGCAGTCGTTCCAGCCCTAGGGCCCTATAGGGCTCCCAAGCACCTTCTTTTAGGAGATGGTTGGAGCCCTAGGATCGACTGCACTGAATCTGTGTGGATGGCACCCCGGTGCCCACCGGCGACCCCCGACCCGCCCGCCGCCGAAGGGGCGTCGGAGGTGGTTGGAGGACTCGGCCGTGGCCAGCAGGAGCCGTTGGGCCTCCAACTCTCTCAGCCGTGCGCTCCTCAGCACCACGAAGGGATGAAGGGGAGTGGTTTCAAGAGATGCAAACATCTGCAGGATCTGTTTCGATCTGTGTTCACCCCAAAGGTGTGGGGTGCACCATGTTCACCAAGCATATGGGAATGTATACCTTCCCCCCCAATCAACGTGGAAGTGGACGAGCGCCGTCTGCGCATCATCTTCCAAACTCGCCAGGGACCGTCGGCAGCGTCGTCCCGCCATGGGGCGGCCCGCCATGGGGTGGTCGCCTCTTTTTCTTCGATGCGACGTGCCTCTTGATGACCCAACTGCTTCACTTCCATGATGCTGTTCCAGGGGTTTCACTAAACATCCTGGACCTTGAAAGGGGTGTCCTGCTTGGAGATCCCGAAGTTGTGGGCTAGGGCGAAACCTGCTAGGGCGAAACCCTGAACTGAAGGTGCAGCGTCTGGTTGTTCAGTCTTCTTCCACCCCCTTGAACTCTTCCGGCCAGCGTCTGCCTTTCGAGCTCCGTCGTCAGCTGATGCAGGATCGGTCTCCATTGCTCACTCATGGCGACCCGTCGGTTGACCGGTCTTGAGGATCGGTGGGTTCCGCAGGAGCTGCAATGACAGGGAGTTCCAAGTGTTTTGGGAATCTGGGAAGTCCAAGACTCCTACCATGCTTTCACTTTTTTTTGGTGACCCGAACAAAACGACTTTCTCTGTCGAACTGGACTTCAGTTGCCAGGATCGATCTGGGCCAATTGCGTCACCCACTTCGATCGATCTGGGATCTGGATGGGTTCTGCTTAAGACTGGGGGCGAATTGGATCTGGACCTCGCCGGAGGGAGCGATCCGGCTCTGCATCTGAAACAGACCACTCCAAGCCCTGCTGGTTTCTGCAGCCAAGAAGTCGAAGCAGAAACCCACCGGTCGCGGCGAGAGCCGGGCTCGGAAGGGACAAGCAGAGGGTCATTGAGGGTCGACCGTTGAGGGAGTTGTGAGCATCTGGGGCCCTTGGACTTCCATGCAAAGGATTTGCTTCGGGTTTGTTGGACCCTTAGGGTTTCCTTGGAGAGCTGCGGAGAGCAGTTCTGGAGGGATCTGGAGGGATCAGAACACCTAGGGAGGGCTTGTTGCAGGACCTACCCGTTTGGCCTCCGTTTTCGTACCGAACCGCTTGGGACGACCGGGGGCAAGGGGGCCATGGACAGCGTCGGGTCCAGTGAACACGTGCCCGCTGAGGTTCGGGTCCAGTCCACGGGTCGGTGGGATGGGCAGTGTAGGGCTAGTGGCACCAAGTCCGACATGAACGACAACCATGTTTGCAGCGCCCTATCACGGAGCCCACATGAGATGTCCTGCGGAATGGGTCGAAAAAACAACGGATCACCGATCTCCGTCGTTGTAGGCAGGCTACATGGCCTCAAGATGTCCCTACAAGTCAGGAACTGACCTCATTTTACTGGACATGGTCATACAAAAGCAATACTGGAGATGCTCATGGGCCTTTCAAGAGGCGTCTATGATCATGAAATCGCCTCAAACAGAGGTGATTCCAGGTGTCCCAAAACCCGCTCGCACGAAGGGTTTCGCTCCTGAAAAGCTCGGGTCCGCCGCAAAGGATCGGACACTCCAGCGATCGAGTCGAAACCGTGTGTTGACCCATAGTCATCCTGATCCTGACAGCATGCGCATGCTGGTATTAGTACTATAATGTATCCCTAGGGCATGGTATTGAGTATTCCCAGACACTCCATGGGACTGCCATATATGCCTACATTGACCTCTAAATATGAATGTATCCCAAACACCCACTATACTCCACTCCACATAGACCTATAGATCTTCCAATGGTGCACCATGTCTGCCGAACTTCATTCATCAAACCCAGCCAAGGTTGGCAGAAATTCTGCACCTACTTGGAAGATCCAGGTATATGGAATATTTGCATACTTTGACCCCGAAAAGAAAAACATCCACCACCCCGGAGTCCCGCGAAACTTGGGTAGCCCTGCGAGTCCCTGAGTGTCTGTCTCTCATTTGTTTGGACCCTCAAGTACCTTGGAAAACTCTATATATCGACAAACTGATTTAAACGACCAAAAAACTGACTAGTATGTCTACCAGCTTCGTTCGTGATCCTCTTTGGAGTTCTTGTTGACCCAACTTACAAGCCGATCTACCGAACCACCAGGGCTAAGTGTTCCCGGCGGCCCACGGGCCGATCCGCTCCTCGTTGTACCTGGAGCCCGGCCAAGCGTACTTCAGATGGCCACCTGGCCGAGCGACGGAGTCGTGAGTTCGAGTGCACCCTCCGACCGTGAAAGAGGCAGTTTTGGGCAGTTGGAACCTTTCCAAAAGAAAGAAAGACGACTATATATATATATACCCTGGGAGTCCAGTCGACTATTTTTAAAACGGTCTGACTTGGTGATCCGAGTTCAGGAACTTCCTTTACTTGGGTGGTGCCTAAAATAGTCTTTGGACTTCTAGGGTATATGGGGTTCTTTGTTCACGTCCTTCCCGTCGATCGTTGTACCTGGGGGCGCCGGGTTCTAAACACCCTAGGTAGCGATGTCGTTCGACGGCTCGATACGTCGTTCGTTCCGGTCGCGACGATTCCGGTTGGGTCGGGCGTTCCGGTCGCGTCAACGGTACGACGCGAGGGGTGCGGCACGGGAACTGTCGCGTCAACTGGTCAGAGGAACTGTCATCCACTTCCATGACGTCTTTCCAGGAAAGCTTGAGCCCATGAAAGCTTGAGCTGCAAAGCATGTCAATCTTATAAGAGTTGTTTAGATAGTTAACGAGTCTAAATCACCGCACATGAGAAAATCCCAAATGTCATTCCTTGTCTATATCCCTAGGGATCCAGTCGTACCTTCTCTAGAAGGTGATTGGAGACACGGGTCGTCTGACAAACTGTCAAATCCGCTGTGTTGTAGGACTGGTTTTCCTTTTCGCCAGGCCAGGCCAACGGTATACGGTCGAGTCCAGTGCGCTTGGGCGCTTGGGCGGCACCGCCGGCATCTGAGCTCTCCGGCTGCAGAGAAAGTACATATGTTCGCCCAGATCGCCTGAGCAGACGGTGCCCCTCCACCGTCCCAGTCGGCCGAACCACGCACTCCCACTATACCCAGACGCTCCATGTCTGTCATATATGCCTACATTGACCCCTCAAACCACCCCAATGTAGGTAAATATGCCATACATGGAGTGTCTGGGATATAAGGTGATCTTAGACTGGTGCCGACTCAGAGTTGATGTTTCTCCGGTTTTTGGCGGCGTTTTTTTCCCCGTTTCAGGTTGGATCCCCGACGCTCGTTTCCCCGTTTCAAGTGCAGCTGGACCGGAGCTGCTGTGTTTAGCAGGAAAAAAAACAACAGAAACAACTTATTCCCCTAGCACTTCCAACGGGTGCCCTGTCTGGAGACCTGTAAGTAGGGTGGGGTAGTCTATTGGACACCCATTGGATGACCCTGGCCCTAAGAGGTTTTTGGACTTGGCAGGCGATCCACCCACATGCACTGACGGTAGGTGCATTGACCTTGTCTCACTTCGGACTCGGTCCAAATCCAACGGTGTCGTTTTTGGGGGGTCTTCACGTGTGGTCTGAACATTCCGTCTTCACGAATGCTGTGACGACGTCAGGGGGGCGTTGAACACTTTGGGAACTCATTTATTGTTTCTAATAGCTTCTTGTTACTAGTAGCGATGTCCGAAATGCTCCGTTCGTAGCGTCCGAACGCTCCGTTCGTAGCGATGCCAGGAGCCCCGTTCGTAGCGTCCTCGGTAACGTTCTGAAGTGAAGTGGAACTGGACTTCTGGTCTTCGGGAGCCACAAATCTCGTATCGCAGGAGACGGCGGTCTTTGACTCGAGCCCACTCTTGAGGAGCTCCTACAACCACAACGTCCATGAATGCGATACAGGCGAAGGGGGGAAAATCCATCTTAGCAACCTAGATATCGCATAAACCTTCCAGCAACTCTCATAGATCGCTCGCTTCTCTTACATGGCCCAAATCATCCAGTTCAGGTGCTTTCCGTTTCACCATTCACCATCTGGTGATTCTTTTTAAAAACATCTGTCCCAAGATGACTCTGCGCTCGCAGTTCGCTGCATAAGCGAGTTCAACGATTGTGAAACTAACAATTCACTTAGCAAACTGCTCATGATCTTCCTTGAGCAGCACTGGCTTGATCTATGCTCAGCTTGGACAATTGCAAGCACATGCAAGCACTATAGTACAATCAACATGTACTATTTAATATTACAAGTCCTCATTTTCTGCCCACCAAGTTTCTCATGTCCAGCTCCAAGTGGAATTGCTCCTCTGAGAGGCGTATCTCTTGTACCGTCATCTCACCCACCATGATGGCACCAACATTTGGAATCTTCATCTTAACACCGGCACAGCGCTCCGAGCAGTCGACGCCGTAGTAGAAGGAATTCACGTGCTCTTGGAGGAAATCTTCCACCTCAGCGCGAGACCTTTTCTTCAGGAACTTGTAAAAATAGAGCGAACTGCTTGAACTTGCGCCGGCTGGTTCCTTGTGAAAGGAGAGGGTCATCTCTCGTATGGCATAGCCTTCTTGGCAGGTGTGAAGGTCCAAGGTGAGCTTGACTCGCTCCAACAGGTGCACATGCTGCAAAAGATGGCTGAGGAATGCAGGGTCTTTGGAAGCAAAAGTCATGTTCTCCACTTGAGCCTTCAGCCTGTGGCTACTCTGACTTGATTGGCTAGCTTCTTCGCTGGAGCTCACACTGGCGCACTCCTCCGAATAATCTTCCAGCACTTCCCCTTCAGGGATGCTGGGAATGTCCCTGCGGAGCAGTCGCGGCTCCCGGATGTCCTTCACATTGAAGCCGACCAAGTGTCGAGGCCGCAAGGTACATGCTTCCTCAGATAAGTTAGGGACTGGCACATGGAAGAGTTGTACATCAACAGAACCTCCAGAGAAATCGTGCATGCGTAAGTGTAGAGAGGTCACAGCTTCCACCTCTGATGTGTCGATGAAATGTGTGAAGCGGTCTCGATCATCAAGAGCAATTAATTCCAAGAGGGAGAAGTTCGTAGGCTTCTCCTCCGAAGAACTGGGAAAGCGGAACATCTCCAAGAACTTGTTGGAAGGCTTCAGAATCTCCCACTCGGGTGAAAGCTGCTCGCAGCAATCGCACATCACGGCCAGGAGGCCTTTGGCTGCTTTCAAGATGGATTCGGTCTCTCGAGTATGAATTTCCTCCTTCTTCAGATTCTCTTCCAACTCCATGGTGCTCTGCTCCTGACGGATGGTTAAGTAGTTGAGTTGTCCCAAAATCACCGAGATGAAGACCACCGAGATGAGCTCATTGATGAAAAGCGCCGGTAAAATCGAGCTGTCCCTTTCAGGGCCCAGGCGCCAGTAGGCGCAGGCGACAAAGGCTGGGAGCAGGTAGAAGTTCAGGCGCACCGTAAACCAAATGTCAGGAGAGAAGCTTCCCACAAAGGCCCTGCCGAGGTAGTTGGCGCACATGAGGTGGGTCGACAGGTCCAGGCTATTAATAACTCCCAAAAGATTCAGGATGGTGCTCACCACCATGGTCTGCTCAGGGGACGTCTGGCCAGTGGGCCTTGAGGCCCATCGAGTGATAGCAGAAGAAGTGAAGGCGGTCCAGAAATGCAGGGAGTAGGCAAAATCCTGAAGCCCACCTTGGATGTTCGAAAGCCTGCGAAAAATCACACCATCTTCCTAAATTATCAGGGGATTCACTGCACATGTACGGAATGTTGCACGAAATCGAACCCCTTCGCACCACCAGGCCGCCGTGAAACTGGCTTTGCACCAGCAGGAAGAAGCAGTAGCCCTCGGCGCAAACGGAACTCAGAGCTGTCCCAGCAACCCAGGCTTTCAGGCGACGGTTGTGGATTCGCACCATGATTTCTGCGGTCTTGCTTTGGTCCTGGGTCGGGTTGTGGTGAGGAGACCCAATAAAATAGGATTTAAACCTCCAGAATACCTCCTGGAAAAAAGACAAAAAAAGGACAAATCGATGGAAAAGAGACCAGTCTACCCTATTGGTACATTATGTACATTTATAAATAGACCCTGTCGACACTGTCACCTCCTGTCTTGATGTCTGACGTTCCAACCTCTGTTCGACCAACTCAAAAGCTGGGGTTTGAGAGAGCTTGGTGCAAGAAAACGTTGTCGCATTACGGTCACAGTTCTTGAGCTCAAAAGGTCTTTGAGAGAACCACGACGGCCAATCAATGCTTTTGGTCAAACGCTCCGTCCCGACTCCGCTCTGCTCCTGGTTCTCCACTTCTTTGCTGCGCAAGGCTGCCAAAGCGGTGAGGGGCCCAGTGGTGCCCATCGAATAGACACAGATCATGTAGGAGGCCACAGCCACAACCATCCAGGTCGCTTCCATGCTCTCCATGGCTCGGATCGCAGCCGCTGGACCCAGCGATGAACACGCGATCGGGTGAAGAGAAGCACGGTGTTCCACTGCAGATTCCGAACTAGTGGTTGTGACTACACGTACCCGAGTCAACTCACGACCCTGACAATGACCCCTTGGAAGATGGGTTTTTCCCTCTACCAACCAATGGTTTTCAGGGTCCATGTTAAACGCCATGTTAGTCTCCCAGGGTGTATGTTTCAGGCACCCAGTGGATGGGACTATTCTCCACGGAACTGGCACCCCTATTTATGCGGAACTGCTGGAAGCTGTTTTTTTGCAGCTTCTCCAATACATCTCTGTCATAGAGTCATAGACTGTCTATACCATGGTTTGGGATGTTTCATATCACATGGATCCAAGTCGCGGCCCAATATTATCTTGAGGGCAGAAATGGCGAGATGAAGGCAAATATCGTATATATAGTAATGTTAATATTCATTAAATTATGATAAATTCGTGCAACTTCTTGCATTCATGCATATTCACAAGACTCCAATGCATCACAGTGTAAGCTCGTCCAATATAACAAGACACAACAAAGACATACCTCAGCCTCAGCAGCTTCCTTTTTCATACTTCTCATCTCTCTCGTGTTGTTCCGTTTAAGACCGACACGGGCAACGCCTGGCGTTGCTCCCCAACCCCCCCCCCCGAAGAACCCACGGGTGCGGAGTTTGGTCTCCGCACCGGCCCGGAAGATGCAATCTTGGTGGGCGAATTGCACCTGGCGACGTCGGCGACGTCGACGGGACCCGTTGCACCGGTCTCCGCGACGTTGTTGGGGGGGGGGGGCCGTGGGTTTGACCGCCATCCATGGGCTAAACGGCGGCGCTGGAAACAGCTGGGCGGTGGAGCGAGAACAAGTGCGAAAGCCCTAGAGGTCCAAAGAATGAGTAAAACCTGGTCCTGAAAACCTCATTGAGTCCGTGTTTGCTGTTCTGGACAATATCTCCAGTTATTATAAAATGAGCTCTTTGACCTAGAGGCTTGGCTTTGGCTTCTACTTGCTGTGGGATCGAGAACGGCGGCGCTTTTGGGGGGGAATCGGGTGAAGCACCCGATTCATACGGATCCATACTGCCATGGTTGTGGGAACTCTCCAAGAATGGATCCATGGCTTCCACTGCGAGGGGTCAAGCAACAGACACTTCGAGGAAGACTGTACTTCTTTGGACCTCAGAGATCTGATGGTCTTGGTATACCGGCCTGTCTAATGACCTTAGAGTCGACTCCTTCGTAGATCGGACATTGATATTCAAGCAATTAAGTTATAAAGAGTTTTGTTGCGGGGATCATGAACCATGTTCAACTGTTTGTTTATTTGGTTCCATGTCATACTACATCGTACTAGGCTGAACACCACTACACCAGTTTGGGACTCAACCCTTGGAGCTCCTGTCCTATCTCCTCAGAAGGTATAGGAACCTCCAAACCAACCCTGAACACATGAATATATGGTACTTTGAGCGCAAAACGGCACATCAGCTGACGTTCAGCTTCGGCCACATTCAGCTTGAGAGCTTGTGTGTTCGAACCAACTGGTTTTCGAAGTGCAACCCTTGGCCGCGTGGGCAGGTCGCTTGAGCGCTCACTGGAGGAGCGCCGCGGCTAAACCCGAATGGAAGAACCGGATTCTTCCGGTGAGTCGGTGGGGGTCTTCCTGGACCTGACTTCAAGTACGAAAATGGGACGTGACCCGTGACCCCAATTACAGGTATACGTATACTTGTAGTCTGTAATTCTCCCCATTTGATGAGCTACGAATGGGTCGACTCCGACATGGCCACCCGCGTTCGTCAAAAACGGATCGGGCCCGTCTGGTTCGATGAGAAGGTCGGTGTTCCCCAAAGACTCCCATGTACCTGGAGTCTCCATGTGCCTGGAGTCTCCATGTGCCTGGAGTCTCCATGTACCTGGAGTCTCCATGTACCTGGTGTCTATGAAGAGGTGACATGGGGTGTCATGGGGTGCCCAAAACACCCAACATGAATCATGTCAAGGCTTTGTTGGGTGAAACTCCCACCATGAAACAGCTACTACAGGGTGACCGCTCAGACCGGTCGTAAAACCTGGTCCGAACATGTCCGCACCAAGTGGTTTTCGATGTTCTCGGACTCGGACCCAGTTTCCATGAGGTCCGGTTTAGGTTTAGACCTGCCTGCTGAGCCACATGAAACAAACATGATAGACGATGAAGAACCTCCTTCGACGATATTCGCTATATCTTGTTCCGTTTCACCATTCTCACGGGAACGACCAGGTTGTGTACTGTAAAATCCTTAGTACTGTAGTTTCAGCTGGTTATTCATGATTCAGACTCTTAAATCAAGGTCAAATCTAGGGTTATCACAGTGCCGGCCCTTTTTCTTCTTCTCGGAGACTTCGATCAATCCTGCTTGACTCGGGTGCTGACAGGATTCCGCCTGCTTCACGGAGCTCGCGCAGAGTTTCACCTGAAGTCATGTTTTGCGAGTCGTCGTTGCGAGTCGCAGCCCAACAAAGCCCCAGGGTTCCTGGCCCATCTCCTCAGGTTTGGTGGAACCGACCCCCAAACCCGAACTCGACGGAGGTAGTCACAGCCCAACAAAGTCCAGTGAATGGAACATGCTCATCGGGACCGGCAATCCACTCTGCCGGGTTCAGTCGGCCGCATTTGGTTCTCCAGTCTGCCCTGTGTCTGTGAGCCTGGAGAAAAGAAAAAGGCACTGGATCTTGTTTGAAGACAATGTGACAATGCGACCTTATATAGATGGCCTCAGGGTGGTTGACAAAGAGACCAAAAATGAGTCCATGTAGATCCGTGTTCCACTCCCAGTCCGTCCACCTCCAAGACCCGCTTCGCCAAAAGGAACTCCAAGACCCAAAGACACCTCTTCTTTCTTCCACCCTCTGGTGGGAGTCCAACAACCTCCAACAACCAATCCTCCAAGCTTCGGCAGAACCAATCCTCCAAGTTCGGCCCCCGGAGTGGAGACCGGAGTGGCCGGAGGTCTTCAACGTCCAGAGGGTGGATCGGTTCGGGGGGTCCATGTATCTGGACCTGGAGTCGAAACCCCGGTTGGGTACCTCGGACCAATGAGGGGCAAGTGCCATCAAGGAGCTGTTTGTGTTCTTTCATATGGGTCCATATGTCCGTTCTAAGGTGCTTGAAGTCGGGTCCAGGTACCTTTTTTCAATGGGGTAATGTCCTATGTTCTAAGGTGGGTGAAGGTCAAACAATGATCCCATATAATCCCTACTACAGATCCACTGCCACCTTCGTCGGGTGCTTGGACCCTCCGGGCGCCTACTAGGATCAATGGTCTTACCTTCTCAGAAGGTATGTGGATCGGGTTCGCGTGGAGTGTTGGGGAATGGAGGAAGACTGCCACTCTTCGCCCGGGCGTCCATGCCCCGAACATACGACCCACCCAGCCAGATGAGTGCGAGTGGCCAGAATGGACTGCAAGATTCCACCCACATAGTTCAGAAAGGGATAGTTCATCACCTGCCCAGCAAAAAGCAACCGATTGGATGTTGACGATTGGATTGAACGGGCTGCTTCTATCACTCAATAGTTCGATGCCGAGCAACGGCCCGAGCAGTATTTGGCTGTTTCTGAGGTGGGGCCGCTTGTTTGGAACACTCCAACCACTGTCTGCTCACTGGTCTGGAAGCATCTCCAGACGGTCTGGAGACATATGACATGGTCAGGAAGACATGCTCCTGTTCATGGTGTTTTCTCATGTGTCCCTGTCTGGTCAGGAAGTTGTTTGGAGGAACCCTCCAACAAAAAGACATCACCTGCGACTTTGACACAGCTTCCAAAGGAAAGCTGTTGGAGGCGGCTCCCGGAGTGAGAACATGGACACTTACCCTGTTTCGGCTTCGTGCGACTAAAAGATATCACATTCAGAAGCTCAACCCCTCACCACCTAGAGCCTGCCGCGCCCAACAAAAAGGATGGCATCGTTGAGTTTCCCGACCGTGTCTTTGTGGATCTCGTAGTTCAAGAGCCTCAGGTTTCTGGGAAGGTGTTTGGGTGGGTTTGGCGGGTCCAAATACCTTCTGGGTACTTGGAGGTGTAGGGACACTGCTTTTTTTGTTCAAAAAGGGTCGACCTTTCCCATTTTCGAGGGCACGAACGGTGGACGCGGCTGGACGACCAAAAAACTTTGGAGGAACTGCTCCTGGTGAATCTGCGGTGATTACTAGGGCATCTGGGGCACCATTGAGTAATGGAGACTCTTGATTCATAAAGACCCACCCCAATATGAAAAGGTGATTGAATCCATGTCTGGGGCTGAAGTTTTGATCAAGAGTCGATCGATGAACCCAAACGCTCCGGCACTGTGCACCCAGTCCCGCCAATCGGTGGTGAGTCCCACTGATCGCACAATCGAGAGAGATACCAAAGGCATCAGCCCTCAAAGGAGTCAAGGTTTTTCTGGACCCGACTTCAAGTACCTTAGAAAATGGGACATGACCCCATTATTATACAAGAAAAACACGCATAATTATTAAAAACAGCTAGGAACTTGTACTATCTTGTACCCATGTTCTGAGAAACGCATCTTGTACCCATTTGCTGGACTGCAGGTAGATCCAGTCCCTTCCAGTCCCTGTTGCGTCGTGTCTGGGACAAACCTCAAAGACCGTGAAAGCAACCCCCTCAAAACCCTCTGGTCACGGTCTTCTGGTGGAAGCCAAAATTGATCGGATCCCCCAACTACCACCGGTCGAATTGACTTCCGAGCGTCCCGAGAAACTGCCAGAAATGTTGACCCGGGGTCGATGGATATTTAATGATATTTATACCAGGACCCTGGGACCCTGCAAAGTAGCTGAAAATGGGACATGACCCCATTTAAAAAGAAGGTACTTGCACCAATTTTCTGAGATACGAACGGGTCGACTCCGGGTTTTTTGGGGCAGTGTGCTGCTTTCTTCTTCATCCGGTCGAGAAGAAGATGATCTGGTCGTAGGGGAGGTGCTGTGTCATTCTTTCTTCCGCAAGACAAGGCGCTCAGTCAAGGGCGAAGACAAGCGATTCAGAA